CAGTTGGCACCCAGACCACTCCAATGGACAGTGCCTAGAGTGTCCCTTTAAATAAACCATTTAAACTAAATTTACTGAGACAGCTCTTCTGGTGATATACCAGGTGGAAAGACAACAAATTAAATAGCTCTAAATAAGCTCAAACTTGTATATAACTAAAGGCACAAAGTCGCTGAGTACAATTATACAATGTGACAAGCATATTCTATAGCTGGTATGGTTAGGAATATTGAGGGTTGTAAAAATGTAAATTATCCCCACTCTGAACACTAAGCAATTAGTTAATACTGAAACAGTATGTTATAACTAGTCTCCAGTAAAAGACTGGCATAAGTATTACATATTATATTTCTAACCTGAAATTCCTACCATAAGCCCCCATATCAGCAGTAGATATTGTGAAAACTACATAATGTGCTCAAAAATAACAGTGCAAAAAATGTGAGTGCAAGCAAGTAGCCCGACACACGTTTCAACGCCAAAAGTGCGGCTTCATCTGGGGCATCAGCCATGCTGTTATTTAAATACCCAAAACCTACCCAGTACATCTTACAGTCCGCCAATCAGATCCTCCGAGGGAGGGGTCTAATCCTCTCTTGGAAGCATGGTAGCAGGCACAGAATTTAAAGTATATTGTCTCCACTCCAAATGCCTACTATAGGTAAGTATAGAGAAATTATACAGAAGGGATGAGCGGACAATTATTTTTTTCAAACAACCCCTTTAGTACTTTAAGGTGAATCTCTATAAAACCATGTACATTGTGGCAAACCTAGCCACTTTAGGTCATATTGCAGAACATTTAAAGGTTGTCTGAAGTAGCTGTGTTAACCTGGTGTAAAATGTATTCGTGTGTTTTAGAAACACAAAAAAAAAACCAGGAAAGTGAATGGCAATTCGGATGCAGCAAAGAACCGAACACAGAGGTGAATGGAGACAGACTACACTGCATTAAAATGGCAGACGTTAAAGGAACTATTAGAAGCCAGGGGTAAGATAGCCAGCAATAAGCCAAAAGCTGTGCTGATTGCTGAATTGATGGAGGGAGACAGAGCTTGCAGCGTTACACCCCCACCAGCCATGGAAGAAACCCCCTTCCAAAAGGAAATGAGGACCAGGATGGAATTTTTACCCCAGCCAGTACCCCTGGAAATACTGGCAGTACTGATGGCGGATGTGCAGGAGTATGTGATGGCACATGGACCGCAGGATGCTCCTCACCCTAACAGAAGCTGCAAGACAAGCAGACCAGCACTATGACGCCAGGAGGCATTACGGTAACCCTCGACCCACCACTCAACCTCATACAGCTACCCCTACTGCACCTACAGCAAACCCATTCCGGCCATCCCCGGGGGGGCACACTCCACCATCCAGGTATAATGGCAGAGCGAATATACAGTGCCATATGTGCAAACAATCGGGCCACATGGCGAGAGAGTGTACCCAGAACCGGAGCCGCCAAGCAGGTACGGCAGAACCCAGCACCAAGAGCAGCCGCCCACCATTACCAAGCGGAGCCAGCAACCCAGGAGATACTTTTTAATCAGACCGAAGAGCCCCTGGGGATACTACACGATGTGATGTCGGTACAAGCCACAGACAACAGGCAACACCATCGCCAGCTAGTAACCCTGGAAGGGAAAGAGGTCCAAGGGCTACGGGATTCGGGAGCCACTCTGACTCTGGTAGCCCCTCATTTGGTTCCAGGCTCCGCACACACCGGCGGATCTGTAGCAGTGCGAGTAGCAGGGGGAGCGGTATACAGATTACCCATCGCAAAAGTACATTTGAATTGGGGTGTTGGGGAGGGCATGGTAGAGGTGGGCCTGATGCAGAAATTGCCAGCGGATGTCATATTGAGAAACGACCTGGTTCGAATTACTTCCACCTTTATTCCTCAAGCTCCATTCCTCAAGCTCCACTTTCTCCAATTAACCAGGGTACACCCCGCTAGCTACTCACCTAGTTGAGACCTCCGGACAGCTACCTATGCGGCAGACCCCATACCGTATCCCGGAAGCGGTCAGAGGACATATGAGGAAGGAAATTGAGGAAATGTTGCAGCTAGGGGTTATTGAACATTCCGATAGCCCCTGGGCATCGCCGGTAGTGCTGGTACCCAAGAAGGACGGCACAACACGCTTTTGTGTAGACTATCGGAGGCTAAATGACAAAACAGTGTCTGATGCCTACCCGATGCCGCGGATAGACGAGCTGCTAGACAAAATGGCACGAGGCCAGTACCTTACTACAATAGATTTATGCAAAGGGTACTGGCAGATTCCACTAGCCGAGGATGCCATCCCCAAGTCGGCGTTTATCACCTTGTTTGGCTTGTATCAGTTTCGTGTCATGCCATTCGGGATGAAAAACGCTCCAGGTACCTTTCAACGGATGGTGGATCGGTTACTGGATGGGTTTCAGGAGTATGCATGTGCATACCTGGATGATATCGCCATCTATAGCCAGACCTGGTCAGACCACCTGCAACATATTGAAGCAGTCATTGACCGTATCGGAGAGGCAGGGATGACGCTAAAGCCCAGCAAGTGTCACATAGGGATGGCAGAGGTACAGTACCTGGGGCACCGGGTAGGGAGTGGACAGCAAAAGCCTGAACCAGCAGTAGCTAAGTGGCCTACCCCCGGACAAAAAACCCAAGTGCTAGCCTTTCTGGGTACTGCAGGGTACTACCGAAAATTCGTACCCAATTATAGTGCCCTGGCCAAACCCCTGACTGACTTGACCCGCAAAAACCTTCCTCGACAGGTCATCTGGGCCCCAGAGTGTGATCAGGCGTTCCAACAACTCAAGACTGCTTTAACCAGTGCACCTGTACTTGCTGCTCCTGATCCAACTAAACAATTTCTTGTCCACACAGACGCTTCAATGTTTGGATTGGGAGCAGTGCTGAACCAAGTTGGAGCAGATGGCGGAGAACATCCCGTAGCTTACTTAAGCCGAAAGTTATTACCCCGTGAAGTGAGCTACGCCGCCATTGAAAATGAATGCCTGGCCGTGGGCCCTCAAAAAGTTGCAGCCTTATTTATATGGACAATCTTTTCCCCTACTCACAGATCACAACCCGTTGGTGTGTCTGAACTGTGTGGCGGGGGACAATGCCAGGCTGCCTCGCTGGTGTTTGGCGCTGCAGCCTTATGACTTCACTATTCATTACCCCCCAGGAAAGCAAAACGGTAACGCCGACGGGTTATCTAGACAGACTGTCCTTGAGAAGTGATCCTACTCCTCCGGACATCCCCAAGCCCATCCTTTGGGATCAGACTGTGTATGCCGGCTTGGTTCTGGGGGAGCATTGTGGCAAACCTAGCCACTTTAGGTCATATTGCAGAATATTTAAAGGTTGTCTGAAATAGCTGTGTTAACCTGGTGTAAAAATGTATTTGTGTGTTTTAGAATTGAGAGCATGCATAGGCTAACAGCCGTGAATAAAATTGTCAGTTGACTCCTGGAGCCGTGAATAAAATTGTCAGTTGACTCCCTGAACTGTGTTTCGTCCGGTTACTGGGGGATTTGGGATATTGCCTTCTTTTCCAGCGCTTTACTTTGGATTACCTTCTATACCAGCGGAGATCTTGGGATTTAATATTGCAGCTCCGCTACATACATACATTAGGAGCCTATCAAAAGAGCTTAAACAAGCTACCGGAAATAAATTAATTTTGTGTGCAAAGACCCATAAAGCTGTTCCACAGATGTAATAACATAGTGCAGATAGTCCAGTAGTCTGGTGACCAACACTTAAACATTATTAAAGTTTGCGAATAAGCAGATATAATGATCCTAAGAAGAATAAGGTACTGATGTAACCCATAATTATCTAGCTGGAAAAAAAAAATTAAAAATCCCAAACATGGCTGTCGCGGACATGACTTAAAGATGAATATTAATCTTTAAATTAATATATAATAACTAAGCAATAAGTGACAACATTAATATTTTGTATAGTTTGTGGTATTATAGTCGAATATGTGGATAGAAAATACACAAAATGTAATATTAAATATATTTAATATTATTATAATAAGTAAACAGATGCACGCAGAATGTCAATTTACTACAATTATTTTACAATACAAAACTACAACATATTACTTACAAAAGGCTATCACAGTTGCTAAAGGTTACAATTTAATCACATGGTACTATACAATAAACTAATAGAGGTCCAGGCACTCCTTGGTTCAAGACAGGTACTTTATTAGTAACAACAACAGCAATGTTTCAACCCCAAAAGGTCTTTGTCAAGCTGGTACATACATCAATTTTACAATACATAAAACAAACTTTAAACAATCACAATTATAAAATACACTTGTGAATCAGTATCCTAAGCAAGTAGTTTAACAGCTGGAAGTAGTATACTGCTTATCAGCAATACTTAATTAATTACATTAATTAGAAAGAGAGTCTAATACTTAATTGCCAATAACAAACAAGCTTTGAAAGACTTATTAATTTGTTGATACAGGATAAAGAAATGTGTATATTATTTTTATATGGATACTAACATAACATCCAAGTGTATATAGGATATAAAACACACATATACAACATAAATACAATACAAAGATAAGACCAGAGTATACGTTTACAGAAATTTTCATTATCAATTAGAAATCCTTGATCAAAATCACAGAATATTAATATTAAGTATCCTTAACACATAAAGCACATCAAGTTCACAGAATTGTTATTTATAGAAGAAAGTGTATATAGAAAAATAACCTTAAATAGGCTAGAAAGACTAATTTGGAGTCGAAGTGTATATAATATCTGCATAATTTAAAACTTTTAAAGAGACAAAAATTTGACTATAATCACTGTAGGTGATAGAAAAGTGCAAAGTGTTTATGATTTAAACCAGTGTTAAACTGTGTTTGGATTAGATAAGTGGCTATATATATATATATAGAAGAATTCAGAAAATTTCCCCATACTTAACGTAATTTTCTTTTCCTGGATAAATCCATGGCAGCATCACGATAGGGTTAGCTCCTCCCCCTTGGCTGTTTAGGACAGGAAATACTTATAAATAGACCTATTTATAAGTATTTCCTGTCCTAAACAGCCAAGGGGGAGGAGCTAACCCTATCGTGATGCTGCAAGGAGGCCTGGTTTCATCAGTGAAGTAACACGCTCGAAGAAAAAATAAATGGGAAGGGAAATAATAGATGCTGCCATGGACGTATCCAAGAAAAGAAAATTACGGTAAGTATGAGGAAATTTTCTGAATTCCTGGATACTAATCCATGGCAGCATCACGATAGGGTAATACCCAAGCTAATTTTATGGGAGGGCAAATTAAAACAAAGACAATGTGTAGCAAACTCACCCCTTTTAAGAGAGTTTGCCATGAGCTTTTGGAGGGGCTTGCTTGCCCGCCTCCTGCCATGTGACTATGGCCCTGGGGGTATTGCCCTTTAAAGACAGTATTTGGGCATGATGGATTTTTATTATGCGGCTACTGGCCCTTTAAGCACAGTGTATGGACTTCTATTAGACTGTGTATAGACTGTGTATAGGAAGGCGTACCCCTCCCCCGTTTCCTGTCCCATTGTTCTCAAGCAGGGCGTTGGCCCAGGCACACTGCCAGACTACTTGCAACTGGTTTGGGCTGGAAAGCCATCCTTCAGTGGGCCTAAAGGGACCTCCACAAAACTTTAAACCCCTATAACTCCTGAACCCCTGATCTGATCTGGGTGATTTTTAGATATGTGTCTCACCCAGATCAGGGCTACCAGGGGATGTAATATTTTAAGGGGTACTCCTAGGTTTAGGGGTACATCCAGAAAACCAGGGGAACTGTGTCCTACATAATGGGATTATGTGTCACACTAAGGGGAGGGGATGTGTGGGTGGCAACTCGTGTATGATTGGTGTATTGTGTAATTACTGTAAATCCCTCCCTTGCATGGGAGAATGCTTTAAAAGAAGGTTGTGTGATTAAAAGTTCAGTTCTACTCCTGATACTGTGTGTCGTCCAGTGATTGGGGAAAGTGATGGGATATTATTGGAGTGTATTGCTGATTGTGCTGGATATTCTCTTGGATTGACTACTTGTTCCTGCATCCTCTTAATGTACTTGGTGGAGTTAAGCTGTGAGAAATCAGCTCTCCGCTACACAAGGTATTCATGCTCAAAGAAGTGTTGGTTTATTCAGAGTCAAGAGACCGAAGAAAGAACATTTCTTCCAAACTCAGTGGGTGCTTTGGATCTCACATCCATGGCGTAATGTTTAATAAAGGTATTAGCTGAAGCCCAAGTGGCTGCTCTACAAATATTTTCTATTGGAGTGTTAGTAGCAGCTGCCCATGAAGTAGAGAGAGATCTAGTAGAATGCGCCTTTAATCCCTCAGGGACTTGAGATTCCTGATACTGATATGCAGAAGAAATAGCTGAAACAATCCATCGGCTCAAAGTGGCTTTTGAAGCAGCCAATCTCCTTCTGAATCCCGCAAAGTTTAGAAAAAGGGTAGGAGATTTCCTCCAACTTGCCGTTTTATCCACATAAATAGAAATGCATCTGGAGACATCTAGAGTGTGCCACCTCTTTTCCTCTGGTGTAGAAGGAGACTGAAAAAAAATGATGGAAGGAGAATCTCTTCATTGAAATTAAATTCCTTTACATTGGGCCGGAATTCCGGCTTTGTTCTAAGTACCACTCTATCCGGATAGAACTTCATGTAGGAATTACTCCATAGATAAGGCCTGAATTTCAGATACCCTTCTCCCGGATGTAATAGCCACAAGAAGAAGAACCTTAAGAGTAAGTAATCTATCTGAGGCCTCAGAAAAAGGTTCAAATGGAGGAAGAGACAAAGCCTTTAGAACTAACGGAAGGTCCCGTGGGGGCATTCATGATCTTATAGAAGGTCTTGACTTTTTCACTGCAGTTAGAAACCAGATCACCATGTTGTGCAGAGCCCACCTGTAGCCAGTAAGGGCAGATAAAGCAGAAATCTGAACACGGAGAGAACTAAGGCTTAGACCCCTATCCAGACCTGTCTGCAGAAATTTCAAAACATTAGAGACTGAGGGAGACAAGCAAGAGACTTTATTGATTTTGCCCCAATCCACAAATACTGTCCAAATGCGGTGATACATAGAAGAGATAGAATGTCTTCTAGACTTCAAGAGAGTGTCAATTACTGCTGACTAAAAGCCTTTGTCTGCTAAACACCTCCTCTCAGTTTCCATGCCATCAAATGTAGTGTCCTTGGTGATGGGTGCACTGCTGGTCCCTGAATCAGGAGATCCGGAATGACCGGCAATTTCCATGGTTTGGTGATCACAAGAGACTTGAGGAGGTCTGCGAGGCCAAAATGTAATAATTGCTATTACTCGGAAATGTTCCTTCTCAATTATCTTCAATGTTTTCCATATGAGAGGAAACGGGGGAAACACATATGCCATCTTGAACTCCCAGGAGCTGGATAGGGCATCCATGTTCAGAGCTCTGGGATGAAAAGAAGATTTTGGAAGTTGAGTATTCTTCACTGAAGCCATTAGATCTACTTCTGGTCGTCCCCACTTCAAGACCTGTTGACAGAATATCTTTGGATTTAATTGCCATTCCTTGAGATGTAGATAATTCCTACTGTGGAAGTCTGCTCTTGAATTTTCTGGTCATGGAATATATACAGCCGACAGACCCAATACTTTCTCTTGAGCCCACAAAATAATGGGTTCCAGTTCCAGAAGAAGATTCTTGCTCCTGGTAGCGCCTTGCTTGTTTATGTAGGACACTGCAGTACGATTGTCCAAGTGAATTCTCACCCATCTTCCCATCAGTACATCCTGAAAATGTGTCAGGGCTAAGAAGACTGCTCTTAGTTCCAGAAGGTTGGCTGGAACGTGGGAAGCTCTTTTCACCCATCTGCACTAGAAATTCCATTGAAGAAGATGAGCGCCCCAACCTGAACCACTGGCATCTGTAGTTATGTTCAGCCAATCCATTTCTCCTAGAGGAAACCCCCTGTGGAGGTGAACAGGATCTCTCCACCAGTCTAAAGCCTTCTAGAGGCACGCCAAAATGACTATCTTCTTGGACCACTTGTCTTTGTCTTGATTGAACCTTTCCAAGAAATACCTTTGAGGATAATGCAGGTGCCACTGAGTCCACTTTACTAGACCGATTGCTGATGAAAAGTTTCCCAACATGCTCATATATTCTTCGGCCGTGACACCCTTTGTGTCTTTGACATGACCTGAACTCTTCTTTCCTTTGAAAGCATAAACTCTGGGAGGGGTCCAGATGACTCTTCTGGTAATTGATGACCCAACCAAACCTTTCTAAAATTCTTATAGCCTGGTCTCTGAGTCAGAAGCCTTGCCCTTTATCTTTCTACCAATAAAATATCGTCCAGGTAATGATAGATCTGAAGACCCTGAAGTCTCATCATAGCTATCAGAGCCAGAAGGACCTTTGAAATTGTCCTTGGAGCGGTACTTAGGCCAGAAGGAACTGCCCTGAACTGGAAATGTTCTCCCAAAATTGCAAACCTCAAATACCTTTGATGATGATCTGCTATTGGAATGTGGAAATAGGCATCCCTTCAGGTTTATTGAGATCATCCAATCTCCTGGCTGAATTGCCACTATTATGGAAGACAAAGACTCCATTCTGAACCTTTGGATGTTGAGGGACAGATTCAACTTGTGTAGGTCTAAAATTGGATGCCAATCTCCAGATGGTTTTGGAACCAGGAACAGATTCGAGTAAACACCTAGACCAATTTCTCCTTGAGGAACTCTTGTAATTACTCCCTCTTGCAGAAGATTGGAAATATCTCTTATAAAGGCTTGTCTTTTCTCTGGCAACCCTTGAGTTTTTGAGATCATAAATCTCTTGAGACAGGGAAATACCCTGAACTCTAGTCTGTATCCTTCTTTGAGGATAGAAACCACCCAGGGATCCAAATCTGCTGGAGCCTAGGTTTCCCAAAAGGCATAGAGACGAGCTCTTACTCCCGAGACCAGGTCTCCAACCTTCAAGAAGATCTGTTTGAGGCTCTAGTACCGGTTGAGGATCTACCTCTGGCAATTCTTCCAGACTGGCCACTTCTCCAGGTTGAACCTCTTGTGAATTCTCTCCCTGGCCTATAGGACCTTGATTCTCAAAAGGACTGTCTGTCATGAAAGGATCTTCTGTCCTGCCAGTTCTGGGAAAACCTTCTACCTCTACGAAATTGGGGAAAAAATACCTTCTTGCCTTTGGCAGCTCTTTTGATGGCCTCCTCCAATTGCTTGACAAACAATAATTGCCCAAGATATGGGATACACATACATTCTTTTTTGCAAATAGGTCTGCATTCCATGATTTTATCCATAGGGCTCTACGTGCAGAAACCGATAATGACATATTTCTGGCTAGGTTATGAATTATATCCAGAGATGCGTATGAGATAAACTCAGTTGCCCATTTACTTTCTGATAGAGATTGTAATAGAGATGGCCTACTTACACCCTTCTCAACATCCTCTTCTAGAAGACAAAGCCATTTCATTAGTGCCTTCGAGACTGAAGTCATAGCTACTGCAGGTCTACAGGCCACTCCAGCAGAAACATAATTCTTACAAAGATTGAGGTCAATCTTTCTATCCATAGCATCCTTGAAGGAGGCTACTTCATCCAATGGTAGGGCTGTGTTTCTCCCCAGTCTAATAATGGCCGCATCTACCTTGGGTGCATTATCCCAATCAGCAGAGTCTTCTTCAGAAAAGGGATATATAGAGGATATCTTCCCTTGAGCTGAGACCCTTTTCTGGGGTTTTCTCCATTCCTTGAGCATTAAGCTCCTTAATGGCTTCATGACTCGGAAAAGAAGGTTTCTTCTTCATCAGTTCTGGAAATATAGATGAGGAAGGCTTAGAGGTACTAGGTTCTTCAAGCTTTAGTGTAAATCTGACAGCCTGAAATAATTTTTCGATGGTCTTAACATCTATGTGTTCATCCACTAAGTCCGAATCTTCTGAGAAATACATCTCTTCACCTTCCTCCGACTGAGCTTCCACAAATGAGGCATCGGAGTCCAAATCTTCTCTATCTCTGAGAAGTTGTTCTTGGCCTCTTATTAGCTCTCTGCTGTTCCATGGACTTATC